TGGGCTCTGCCCATGCTGATGGAGCAAACTCTTCCCATGAAGTTCAGAGCAGCGGTGTTTCTCTGCTGCTATTGTCTGTGCAGAGTCAGAATCTTCCTCTACCCAGGATGCGACTTTGTAACAGACCGTATTTTTATGCTGGTTCCTCCAGCCATGATTTCCAGAGGGTGGTGACGAGAAGGCCAGCTGGTCCATGCAGAGGGAGCCGTGTCAGGAGAGGAAGGCATGTCGAGGTCACCTGGATCTTTTACAGTAGGTAGGAATCATGTCTCTGCTCTGGAAGGAAAAACCAGCTCTATCTTCCACGGCCACTATATAAACTACATAAACATTTGGGGTTTTTGTTTGTTTAGCTTTTAAATTTAAGATGAAAAAATGTCATGTATTTAATCTATACAGATTTAGGAGTATAGTGATACTTACCACCCTACCCTCTCTCCCAGAAAGGTTAGTCAGGATCTCAGAAATGCGAGATCCTTGGAGAACTATGATTATAACAATTGGGCTGATTTTAGAAAGTCTAAAGAAAATTGTTCTATTTAGCTTTCCGAGCCTTTCTAACCACCACTGCTTTCTATGTATTCTGCTCTGCAGGTAAATTGATCTTTTTGTTTCTTAAACATGTGCTGTATTTCCCCAGCTTCCTAAGCTGCAGAATGAACATGAACAAAAAGAAAAAAAAAACCTACTTGTAAAGGAAAACTGAAACCAGAAACCTCAAATTCATGCTTTTATTTTAGATGTTGAAATATTCTTTAATACTGTGATTACTGGGCCTTTTTGTAGGTTAACTTAAAAATGTTTTAAATTCTTTACCATGTAGATTTAAAGGTTCCACAGCAAAATGGCAATTTTCTTCTGAGTACAAAGTATATTTTCCATGACTCAATATAGTTAATTCAATTCCTGTTAATAAGTTAACCACCGGCCGGTGTACAAAGAGATAAAATGCCATTGTCTGCAAGTATCTGATAAATATTTTCCATAGGAGGAGGGAATCAGTGACCCCTCATTTTCCCACCAAGACCCAGAACTAAATAGTCAACAGAGCAAAGTAGATCTCTAATTCAAACGTCACACTGCAATTTCAAACTGGCAGTTTTCTGTGAGTTTCATTTTACTTGCAAAGAAAACAATGAAGCACTTATTCTGATGTCAGAGGAACTGTGGGAAGAGACTGAGAAATTTGTATTTCCCTCGATTTCTAATGGGCAGAAGAGGATGATGACAGTAACTGCAAGACCATGTACTACAACTGTTTAAATAATTCCTAATCACGCAGCTAATTGAATTTTGGAAACAATCATGTGTTCATATGAAAATGGACTCATTTGATTGTTAAAAATGGTACCAGATCATCAAGAAATCATAGAATTACAGAATTTAAGACACAAAAAAATTTATAAATGAAGCCAACAAGAATGTCACTGATGGTATTTCTATGGATTGTGTATACATTAAAGATCTCAATCTTATAATTTTATCCCTGGGACAGTAATACTAATCCCTTCTTCACATGGCTGTCTTATAGACTGTGGCAGCAATTCCTCCATTAGAATGTATATTATCATTTTAAACTACACACACACACACAGCACTCTCTCATCTATTGGTTCACTCCCCCAAATGCCCGCAAGGGCTAGAATTAGGTTGAGGCCAAATCCAGGAGCCAGGAACTCAATCCAGCTCTGCTATAGGGGTGGCAGGAACCCAATTATTGGAGACATCAACACTGCCTCCCAGGGTCTGCATTAGCAAGAAACTGGAGCCAAGAGCAAGAGCTGGGATTAAACCCAGATACTAGTATATGAGGTGCAGGCATCTTAACTGCTAGGATATAGCCCATCCCAACAACTCCTTTCAGCAAAGTGTCTATAGTCCCAGGGCTCAAAGGTCCTTACTCTAGTTTTCCCAGCATCTTTATCCTAGACACCCAGCTCTGAGTGTACCTGGCCCACTCCTATTCACTGCCACAGTCCTAGGCCTCCTACAACATATACTCTGGGTCAGTACGTCTGAGTCTGAAGAAGTGTCAGGAGAGCCTCAGATCAAGGTAAGTAAACACAGAATCGTCTACGTTTTCTGAGAGAATGAACTACGTCACATACATTTTATACCCATATAACTGCTAAGCATAAGGCATCACACATGGCAGTTTTAATTTAATCAAGGATTTAGTGGGCACAAGGACTATTTATGAAGCAAGCAGAAAAGATAATGAACGTTATCTCCAATGGATGAGGAACTCAGTTCAAGAAAAGGGGCAGCACTGCTGTATTTTCATGGAAGTCCTCTGTGTGTGCATTCTGCAATTCCTTCAGGAGCTGGAAGTCTGGAACTGTGTTACTGCCACACTGATGCACAGCAGCTTCAGCTCAAGGTCAATGGAGCCTCCACGCAGCTGGCAAACCCCTGCGACAAGGCAGCTCCTGCAAGGCAGTTGTTGGTGAGGTAGGAGAACGGGTTTCCAGGAGTGAAGGAAATGTCTAAGTTAACACACAAGGAAGGAGACAGTCCTCTGTGTCTAACATTATTTAGGACCATCTGACTCTTCTGTTCCTGGTGCTGGTTTACATGGTTATGACAAAAAGGAAGTGATGTCAAGTTGAGTCACCACATTGCCACTTCAAAAGCCCCAGAGATTTTCAAGGAAAGCAGAATGCATATTTATTTTTTCTGGTTTTGCATGCAGAGGGTTTTGGCGCAGTGTAATAGAAAATTCAGTTCCTCCAGATAATACAGATGTGGTAAGCAAGCCACAGCCCAGGGGAAAGTGTCAATGCCAGGGGCTGAGTGCAGATTCCTCACATCTCTCCCTGGCTCCAATCTCTAGTCCCACTAGGCTGACAACGCCACTTATGCCTCTGTTCTTCAGCGTTCTTCCCTCCCTATCTCAGGTCACGTTTCCAACTACATTTCATTCACATTTAACTTTATTCCTTAATTTTCATCTTAACCACCTATGCATGATTCAGTTCGGTTCAATTTCTTGGCTTCCTCTTATTTTCCCAGGGCTGTAGTCATTCCTGTGTGTGCTAAAAATCGATCAGCCATTAGAAAAAGTCATGGAGGAGATGACAAATTGTTGGGAGTGGGGAAGCGGGGACTATGGGTAAATAGTAGAGAGAGATGTACATGGTTCTATTGATTCATTTTTTAAATAAGGGCCCCTATGCTACCTGAGAGAGCCCAAGACGACTTTATGTAGGAGATGAAATACACACAGGTGAACTGGAATAAGTTGGCACACAGGGCAACAAAGAGTTGCTGTAGTGGAAGACCTTCAAGGGAAAGAAGGGACCAGAATATTCATGGGGAAACCAGAGTATGCACATGTCATGGCAAAGTACGTCTGTTTCCCAGGCTAGTAAGGTTCCTCTTTCATGATGTCTTTTTTAACATTTTAGAGCTTTCTGGTAAAGAATTATATTCAGGTTACAAAATAGAAATGTTTTTAAAGTTCAGAAAATACTTGTATCTGTGTTTGCTTCTGCAATATCTCCTGCATACAGCAAAGTCTATGGTTTATTGTTGATAAGAGAGAATTGTTCTAGCATATTTTCTAAGGAGTTTATTCTTCCAGAGGAATTTAACAGCATAGAAGAATCGATCTGATAAAGGATGTTTGGCATGCCTTATCTAGATCAGGTGTAGATAATATTACAATGTGGCAGCTAGAAAAAATTAACAAGAAAAGGTATTCAAGTCACTTGTATTGTAATAAATATAGAAGAAATTTATCTATAGAAAGATGACACTTGGGGCCAGCATTGTGGCCTAGCAGGTTAAGTCACCACCTACGATGCCAGCGTCCCCTACTGGCAGCAGTTTGTGTCCTGGCTACTCCACTTCTGATCCAGCTCCCTGCCACTGCATACTGGGAGGCAGTGGATGATGGCCCAAGTGTCTGTGCCCCTGCCACCCACACAGGAGACCTAGATGGAGTTCTGGGCTCCTGGATTTAAAGTGGCCCAATCCTGGATGCTGAGGGCATTTGGGTAGTGAACCAGAGGAAGGGGTAGTTTCTCTCTCTCTCCCCCTGCCCCCCCATATATGAAAATAAAAATAAATATTAACAAACAGTAGCATGTCTCTATATAAAGAATATTCATAGAGAGGCTTTTTTTTTCAAGGACTAAAGGTTAGCTACCTCATGGGGACAGCATGTGTATAAGCAGGTATGGGTACATTGCTCAGGATAGATCAAGCTTAGATCTTAAACTCAACGATTTCCAATGACCTTATGATTCTAGGTTTCAGTGGGGATTACAAATGAAATGATGGAATGAAATGTAATGATTTGCAGTTTCTAACCAAATTGGTCTGTAAACAAGCTGTTAAAGATTCTAATACTTCTTTTAATCTTCAGGTTCCTTGTGTTACCATAAGCCAGGCTACCTTTTACACACACCTGATCTCCATTCTAAACACACTATTTCTATTCCTGACAACTAATGGTAACAAGGATTATTTTATTACTGGAAACATAATACTGTTTTAGATATTTTGATATGCCCACCACATAGATCATGCACATAAATACTGTTTTAGTCAAAGATATACGCATTTAGTGTTTGGAAAAACTAAGAAATTTATAGCAAAAAAAATGATTTTAAAAACAAGATACAAAATTTTAAAATAATAAAAGCTTTATGTGTACTGCATTGCCTAAACATTATATGGCCCTGATATTAGATATCTTTTTCCCCTCTTTAATTTGAATCACAAAATTTTGAAAGTGTTAGAGTTAAAAATATCCAAGGACAAATATTAGGAAGTGAGTCCAAATTGCAGAAGCCATGCCTAAAACATGTGCTGTGCTTCAGAATTAAATGTTATTTTTTCAAATCATTATTTTGAAATTATTATTCAACACAAAATATGTGTTCCAGAGAAGTGCTTCAGAACATACAGGTAGTTAACAAGACACACGGATTATTTAATTTCCCATAGGAATCAGGAAGGTACAGAGAAGCATTGCTTTCTATGAAAAAACAAACCTTAACAAAATAGTTGTTATTGTTATTGAAGTTGCCAGACACTCCTTGTAATTCAGCCACAGTGTTCTAAAATGTTGACAAAAAAAAAAAAAAATTAAAGAAGGCCTGTATTCCCTAAAACAGAAGAGCCTAAAGATGAGGACAAAAAAGTTATGAAGTTCTTTCTGGGGCTAACTGTGACACAGACTGTCAAGTACTAAGAGATTATGGCTGCACCTTGGTAAAAGTGCCCCCGCTCTCAGTTTCTCACTATTCCACACAAAATATAAAATCTATTCTTGGGATTAAATTCATATCATTAAAAGGCCATCCATAATAATGGCAACCTCTTGTTCATATAACACAAACTGTTTCCAACTAGGAATGGCAAATGGTGTGAGTCAAATTCAGTGCTTTCCCTTCGATATTTTCCATACCAAATATACATTTTGTAAACTCTATATCCTCTAGTAATGAAAACACGTTATAAAAGAAAGAGTAAATGGCTTGCGTTTCCAGAGTAATGATGAACTATGCCCCCAAAAGACAGAAATGTCACCTGTATTCTAAGACTTTGTAATGTAATTATGCTTTAAAAGGATATTTAAGGAAAGCAAATAATCATATAACTTTAACATGTCTATAATACAACATAACATTTCTGTTTTCTAATTTAAAAAAACAGGGGTGGTACTGGTTTACATTGTATTTGCAGACTGAGCTCACGGGGCTCCAAATTGCAGGATGCCCTTTAACAGAGAAGATTCTCACACAAAGAGTCTACACAAAATAAATAGAAAAACCACGTTGCCTTACTACTACAAGGCTCAGCACTGACAGCTGTGAAGTGTTACAGACTAGATGTCATTAAAAGTTGAATTCCAGTTGAAAAATTTACAGTACCCCCAGAATTTCATGGGACAGGGCTGACTGCCTGAGGGGTTTACTGAAGTCCTCCATGGTTACCTTTCAGATTGTTAAAGAAAAGAGAGAGAGAAAGAGAAAAGAACAAGAAAAACAGATGAACGAAAATTCTATTAAATCCAGAAATGCAACCACTAACCATAGATAGACTTAAATGCACATTACATTTTTTTTTCCAGTTGTTCACATTTTCTGTTCTGAGCAGAACTCTCCCTTTTACTCTTCAGCTGTTTAGCAGAGCCATTTTAACTTCATATTAAAACTAGAATGTTTAAAAGAGAATGAACAGAAACAGAAATGCAAATTAAAATGAAATTGGCTATTTGCCTATTTTAAACTCTTCCAGTTTCAATATTTGGAAGACGAAAAAAAAAAAACCAGAAAAAACAGACATTTAAAAAAGACTCAAAGGTTACCTATGTATTTCAAATTATACTAGAGTATGACTTAAAATTTCTTGGATCATTAAAACGTATCTAAGAATAAGCAGCACACGATCAAATGTAATTCCTAAACGTGGCTCGGATGAAAAGCCGCTCTGTGTTCAGCACTTCGGCATGTAGTTTGCACGCTGCACTGCAGGCCATACAACCAATTCTAGCAACAACTCTCTTCTGCCCAAGCAACAAGCTCCACGGTAGAGTCCACCGTGAGTGATTGGATCAGAAACAGAAGCTAGCAGCCCTTCAGCAGACAGTGCTGGCGGAACGGCTGGCTCTGCAGGTCAGTGGGAAGAACTTGGTTGCTCTGCATCTAACTAGACATTTTCCTGGCTGGTCCAAGGAATGTCACAGAGGATGGCATCAAAAACAAAATAAAACAAAAAAGGATTCTGATTTCGAAATCATGATTCTGTAAGTTAAGCATTCCGTAACTTAAAGCAGAGTGAAAAGCCAAGAGATTGACTACTCACATGCCATGCCTGTTGTACCAAAGGCAAGTCAATAAACTGTTGAGTTACATAAGAAATTAACTCAATTATTCAAAGACCATTTATCCACTGAATATCCAATACTGGTGCTTCTCATTTCCTCTCTGCCTCTTGGACATTTTACTTTTCATTAACAGAGAGAAAAAAAGTAAACAGAAAATAGGGAGATAACAGTCCAATCAATCAATTTAATAATATTTCTTAGCATTAGTTTAAAAATAAGAATTATGTGAATCAGGTGATAATCTGATAATACTAATTCACTGGAATGAATTTTCATTGTACAGCTCTTGTCTCTATGAACAAAAAAGTAGTAGCTGCTTTTCCCTGGGCATGTTTTAGAGAAGCAGTGCATGACACAAGAGACAGGCAAAATATACAAGTCAGGGAGGAGAGGGCGAGAAGAAGAGAGAGAGAGAGAGAGAGAGAGAGAGAAGAGAGAGAGAGAGAGAGAGAGAGAGAGAGAGGAGAAGAAAACACTCCCTGAAGTCTCCAGTGAGGGTTACTTAGAGCTACACAGTAGTACAAATCTGAGTTCAACTTCCACAACTCGCTGAGGAAAAAGTTGTTTAACTCAAAGCTAAACTCTCTTTTGTAAAATATTTCTGTGCTCAATTGTCTTTCACATGAAGATGATACAGAATACTGCCTATAGTAAATATCCAAGTATTTCATTTCCTCAATGCTAGAAGCACAGAGATTAGAAATATGGAAGAAGGAGTCACAGACTCCAGGTATTGTGAGAAGTCACCTACACAAGCATCCTGATTCTGCATGTGCCTGAATGCAGCCTGAGCCCTCCATCCAGAACCAGCACAGGGGCTGCAGAGGCCGGGCTCTGGAGCACGGAGACTCTGTTCCAATCCTAATTTTGTCATCTCAACCCCCTGCTTGATCACTAGGAAAAAAAAAAAAAAAAAAACTCAGCTGCTGAATTTCTAGAAGGAAAAAAAAGAGAGAGAGAGAGAGAGAGAGAGAGAGAGTCTTCTGTTTGCTTTAAAGATTAAATGATAAATGAGGTCATGGAAGAAAGGCACCTTGGGAAGCGCCTGTCAGTGAGAATTTATTCTCTTCACCTTTCACAATACCTGCTCAGATGACAATGAACTCTACTTTCATGACCAAAATAGGCACTCCCCTTCCCCTGTCAAAGCACTCTCTCACTTGGTATTCGATAAATTTCCAAGTATAAACACTGAGTAACCAGTATTCTTTTTTCATTTACCACATTATAAAAGTACAAGAAAAGCATGTGTATGTGTGCGTGCACGCACGTGTGTGTGCACGTGTGTATTTTGTACAAAGCGCTGGCTGCTTGAAGCGAAAACTTTCGGGGATGAAGACAATCAATTCCTCAAAACAACTGGAGGGAGTTTGTGATATATGGCAGAAACGCTTCACTTGGGGAGCCTTCAAGATCTCCTTGTCTTTATTTCCCCCTCTTGTTTCATGGTCATGGAATGCTGGAGGCTAGGAGGGATTCAGAGGTCGGCCAGCCCCTGTACTTGAACAGCAATGACACCAAGGCACAGAGACCACAAAGCTTGGCCTCCTTTCCTTCCACCCCCAATGTCACTGCTGTCCTGTAACCTCAGAGCCAAACTCTTTCCAGCAGGGTGAAGGGGTAAAAACCAAACCTGCACAGAATGACTACGATCCTAAAACAGGCTTGCAGCCAAAGCAAATCAGCACCTCTGATAAAGCACAAAAGACTAACACAGATATTGAAAACTAGGTAGGAAACAAGTTCAAATATTTGAAGAAGCTGTATTTTAGTTTCAAAATCAAAGATAACAGATTTTCATAAGTAATGTCATCTTAGTATAATGAGAAAATACTTGCCATTTCAGATGGACTATGCAAGTAAAAAACCAAGTCAAGTAAAAAGAATTCTTCGAGACTAATTCATTCATTTAAAAGCTTTCTAATGTTTTTGGTTGAAAGCTGATACATCACTTTTAATTTTCTACTTTAATAAATAGAGAATACATTCTCACTACAATGCAAACACATAAAAACTTTATAGATATTTGGGTTAAAAATACTCCAGGCTAAAAATACATGAAAATATTTGAATGCCATTTATTAATCTTCTCTATGTCATGGCTGAAAGCCAAAAAAAAAAAGTTCTGGAAAAATAATATATTCAGATGAGTAGAAGTTGAACAGATGAAGTTTCACGGGCTTATATCAGCCGGTATAGAGAAAAATATTTGTTTTATCTAAATATTTACTAGTTTATGGTATATGAAATAGTACAACTAAATTGTTGATGGGTCTTTTGACATGCCAATATGAAACATGTGCATGTTTAAATGTGTTTATAATAAAGTGTGTTGTCCCGTGATATCAATGTACATTTGGCATTGACATTAGAAATAGACCAGCATCTGTATTACATTACAACACACAAGGGGTCCAGAGAACCGTTTTCACTTGGGGGTTAGCTTCTATTCATTTACTTGATCTTCTACAGAGAGCAGGATGTAAAATTATTCCAATATGTATCCACTCTATAGAACATGTGCTAGTGGAAAAGCTTTGTTCTGCATTATGTTAGCACAAATCATAGTGAACAGATCCAAAGGACTTTCTCTTCCTGGGGGAAAAAACTCTGGAAACACTCAGCAATCTTTAGTCCCTTTCTGTGGATGTTGCATGCGGGGGTGTTTTTTCACTTAAAATGTTTACTGATTTTTTTTTTTTAATTACATGCTCTTGTACAACATTTGGAAAAAATTGAGAAAACATAAAGCAGAGTGAGAAAATCACCTTATTCCAACAGGAAAGATAACCATTATTCATGTTCTGGTGTTTTTGCCCATTGCTTTTTTTTTTTTTTTAATTTTTTACTGAAAGCATGGTCAAAGAGGAGGCTGATTGGTTTCCAACTGTCCACAGGACACCGGGACTCGATTCTTAAGTTATTATCAGACGCACGTAGTATTTCTTTTCCATGAGGTTCAACTCAAGTTCACTGTAGATATAGAATCCTTAAGGAACTGCAAAGAACCTGTCACCCTGTTACGTGGTGGAGAGAGCAGGGCAGGGGGCAGGCCACGAGTGGGCACGACCAGGACCGGAATGCTCGCAGGCGCTCCCTACCTCGTCGTCGTCAGCGTCATACTGGGCATAGTGCTGCTCCAGCAGCTCCCTCTGGCGCCTCTCCTGCTCCAGCGTCTGGCTGATCAACTGGGCAACCTCACTCACTTGTCCTGGTTTTTCCCGCCCAATAACAAACCTGTAGAAAGGTTACAGAAGACTTACAGTTAAGACTTCCCAGTGAAAAGGAGCACGAACAAAAACATCTAACCCTGAGACCTCAGCAGGGTCCACGCTGCAAAGTCAAAAGTGCTTGTGACTCAGGCAGCCCTGGGGATGGTGGAGGGCCAGCTCCAGTCCTGGCTGCTCCATTTCGGATGCAGCTTCTGGGGAGGTGTCCGAGAAGCGGCAGATGATGGCCCAAGTAGCTGGGTTCCTGCCTTTCACTTGGGAGAGGCAGATGGAATTCCAGGCTCCTGGCTGCTTGGCAGCCATTTGGAGGGTTGAACCAGTGGATGGAAGATTCATTCTCTCTCTCCCTCCTGTGTGTGTGTCCCCCGTCAATTCACCTTTCAACACACACACACACACACACACACACGATATATTTATATTTTATAGTAGAATCACCTATGTACTTCAAATGGTATGCCTGGGTGTATTTTAAACTGACTTTTTGGGACACTGCTCATAGATGAAAATAAAGGGGAAAATAATAGAGCATAAAAAATTAATGCTTTGGAACAAGTCTTAAATGTAATCCATTGTACAGTACTTTATACATTTTTGATGTCTTATAAAATGAAAGCAAACTCAATTTTTTAAGTTAATCATGTTTCTAATAATGTCTTCCAGCAGAGATTTTGAAGTATATGGTAACTCAGAAGGTTAAATAAATAGAAGAATGCTGATGTTTTTGCTAAGTTACTATCACCCTGGAGATAAAAGAAAAGGAAACAGAAGTAATATTTTTGTTTTTAAGATAAAAAGCTAAAATAACAAGAGGTGCTGCATTAATTCTCTCTTCTCTTGAGAAAAAGGCATGAGAGAAGACCCACGAAGTAATGGGGCAAAGGGAAATATCTATTGGTATTAGCTGATGGTTAAAGGCAAGTCCAGAGCAAAACATACTTACTTAATTGCAAGCTAGTGTAAAAAGGAAATGCTATACTAGGATATAATTATTAGTACTAATGTGACAAAGTCTTCCATTCAAATACTCTTTAAACAAATATTTATTGTATGCATATCTAAAACCTGAAGGATATATCTTTTAAAAACATAAATAGATGAAAAGAACTTATACTTGGGGGCCGGCGCCATGGCTCACTTAATGGTTAAACCTCCGCCTGCGGCGCCGGCATCCCATATGGGCACCTGATTCTGTCTCGGTTGCTCCTCTTCCAGTCCAGCTCTCTGCTGTGGCCCGGAAGGGCAGTGGAGGACGGCCCAGGTGCTTGGGCTCCTGCACCCACATGGGAGACCCAGAAGAAGCTCCTGGCTCCTGACTTCGGATTGGCCCAGTGCCGGCCTTAGCGGCATTTGGAGAGTGAACCAATGGAAGGAAGACCTTTCTCTCTGTGTCTCTCTCTCTCACTATCTATATCTCTACTACATCTATATATAGATACAGTATATATCTATATCTCACTATCTACATCTCTGACAAATAAATAAAAAAAAGAAAAAAAGGAAAGAACTTATACTTGAATATTCCTTTGTGATATATTTGTGAGCCATGGGTCACAAGAAAATAGTGCTTTGAAAGATTTGTGCAGTCTCATTTCTTCTGTTCCATCACATTAAATGGCTTTTCTCTAAACCTGATAGCTTTTTAAACATGTAACTTGTTCTATAAGCAAGTGGTGGTAAATGTATCTCTAGATGCTTTCACTAGGGTTTGCTGATAACAGTGAAAGTCTTAGAGAACTACACTTTTGGCCCTTATTTGTAATTGCACATTTTTACATACTTTGCCTTTCTTTACTGAGAGCTCAATTAACATAAAACCCTATATATCCAACATTAAAAATTTTAAATTCATCTATAAAATTGTTCACTCTTGAAAGCTAGATCTGAGTACACCTTAAATAAAATCTTAAAAAAAGAAAGCTAGATTTGATATATTTTAACTTAATTGTATGCATTAATTCTTTGAAATGAATCTTGTATCTAAGCCAATGCCAATTATAAATTTTTTTCTATACTATATTTCAATGTCAAAAAATAGCTCAATTATTTTTTAAAAAACCTGTCTAAAAGTGTTACATCCTTTCCAGGAATAACACCTCTCTTATAAATAGTCAGCTTTGAAAATTCAGTATAAATATTCATGCATTTGAATATTTAAAAAGTAATCTGTAACATGCTAATTTGTTTATAGTGACACTAGAAAATGTTCTGTTAATAAATTGCTGGCTTTAATTATTTTTTTAAAATCCCTGCTGATTTTAATAATTTTCTAACATCAAGAGTTGTTGTCCATTTTTATATAGATAATATTGAAAAGTTCTATCAAGTCCACACTGGCTTCTCCTCCTGTTTGAGGGAAGGAGGTAGCCTTGGGAGTAAATACAAAGTCCACAATGATGGCTGATTCCCATAAACATGGAAACTTCCTACTGCCCTCAATTACTTATCACACTCAGGTATATACGATCACAAAACCAAAGGCTCTGATAAAATGGGGAAACTATTGGTGGTCTCTTGTGCTATGGTGGCAACAGAAACATTATAAAATGATATAAACTAAGGGAAAACATTTCACCATTTACTACATTTCAAATGAAATCTAAGATACACCAATGATCTAAAGTAAAAATAAAAGGAAAAAAGTCCTCATACATAGAATTATATGCCCAGGTATGTATTCAAATCAAAACATGCTCACCTCTATTGGAAAATCTCACTTGTATTCACTTATATTTCCTTCTCACTATTGTAACCTCTTTCAAAAAGAATACTTAAGATCCTCAAATTAATTATTTTCAATTGTGTGTAACTATGATCTCTATGAAATCTTGACCTCCAGAATTGCTCCATATCAATAAGTCAATAATTCTATATCCCAGGGATAAAAGCACAATGAATGAATGGCTATTGATCATGAGTAGCAGGTACTTTTCAGAAAGTATTTAAAATTTAATGTGAATGACACTGAAGAACAAACATATCAATCACTGGAAACGTCCTCAGACTGAAACAAAATGTCTCTCTTAAAACACCACTTGCTTCAAAAGTTGTGTAACATCTAATTCCTCTGAGTTCACTCTTTGAAATGCCTTATGGATGCTACCATGCCTTCTTTAAACTTCCTATTTTTTCAAGGTAAAAGGATGTAGAATCTTTAAATTTTTTCAAATAGAAGGAAAAATGTTTACAACTTATCACAATCCTGGTCAGTCTTTTAAATAATCTCAAACATTTTAGGCTTGTTCTTATGTTGGGCACACTCCTAATATTAATCAAAATACACTGTGGTATAACACTAATGTATCTCTGCATCCTTCCCTCCTCCCTCCCTCTTTCACTCCCTCCCTCCCTCCCTTCCTCCCTCCCTCCCTTCCATCCATCCATCCATCAATCCATCCACTTATGTAGCCATCCAATAGGCCATTGGTTACTATGGTGGCAGGCAGCATCTAGCATGACCCAAGTAACAAATGAACTCCTGAAATGTAATGTAGTATATAATTCTCTCCCATTGAGTGTGGCTCAAATGTACTCACTCACTTTTATCAAATAAAAACAATAGCATTTATAGGGTGTGGCTTCAGACATTAGGTTATAAAAGGATGCAGATTCCATTTTAGGCACTCTCTGTGAAAACTCTCTGGAGAAACCAGTTTCCCTATGGTAAGGTATCCCATTAACAAGTGTTAACTGGGAAGTGTGCTATAGAAATCATGAGATAATAAAACTTAGTTGTTTCAGGTCCCTAAATATATGATGGAACCAAATGTATATCAATTATGCCAGGCATGCAATGGAAGATCAAAACACATAAGGTCATATATAAAGCTGTAGACTCAGGAAAGCATAAATTTTCAAAAACTGTGCTACAAATCCATGTTTATATAAGGTAAAGAACCCAGATGCAAAGAATTTTATATGAGATAATTTTTTTCTGATTAGAAAGTCAATAATAGAAAATATTTTAAAAATAGAAGTATACAGCATCATTAAACCTCCATATTGCTAAGGGAAACCATTTTTATTACATTTGTTTTTTTAAAAGACTAAGTTCTTCCTTCCAAATCATTATCAACAATAAATAATTAGCATGATGTTTTTAAAATTAATCATAGCAATTATGACACTTTCAGAAATTTTATTTGAGAGACAGAGTTAGGTAAATACAGAGAGAGAGAGAGAGAGAGAGAGAGAGAGCGAGCTCTCATTTGCTGATTCACTCCCCAAATGCCTAAATGGTAGAAGCTAGACAGAGGCCAAAACCAGGAGCTGAAAACTCAATCCAGGTCTTCCATGTGGGGAGCAGTAACCCAACTACTTGAGCCATCCCATGCAGCCTTCCAATGTATTGTATTAACAGGAAGTTGGTGTTAAGACTCAGATCCAGAAATTGAATCCAGTTATTAATTCCAATGTGGGATGCAGGTATCTTAACCACTGGAGTAAATGCCTGTTTCCCCACCACACATTTTTAAAAATCAGCTTTGTTGAGGTCAAACTTCTATCTATACAATGAAAATTGCCAATTTTAAGTGGCAGGCAAATGTGAATTCTGAAAAATGTGTGCAATGCATAGCTGTGTAACAAACACAATAATCATAATAAGGTAACATTCTCATCACCTCAATTCCATGTCTCCATCTGTGGTTCTGAGCAATCACAGATCTACTTTCCATAGTGTAGTTTTGAATTTTCTATAATTTTATATAAATGGAGTCATGCAGTACAAAGGCTTTTGTGTCTGGCTTCTTTTAGTTATTACAATGGGTTTGAGAGTCATATATAGTGTTGAGTGCATTGGTAGTTCATTCCTTTGTATTTCTGAGACAATGTTTCATTGCATAGGACATAATACAATTTGTGTATCCATTCATCAGTTAAAAGACAGGAGTTGTTTCCAGTTTTTAGCTGTTGGGACTAAAGCTCCTATAAGCATACAAATATGAGTCTTTGTGTAGATATGTTTTTTATCACTGTTGAGTAAACAGCAGAGTGGCTGGCTGGTAT